CCAACAATTGCCTACAATACAACAAAAACATTTCTTCTCCACGCCCTCAACCCCCAAGTCCTGGAGGGCGTGCCACCGTGTAGAAGGTAGAGGGTGCCGCCTGCAGGTGTGCAAGAAGGCCCCACCCCTCCTCCACTGGGGCCAAACTTCTTGAAAGAATCATGTGCATTCACTTGCTTCTCTGGCTATTGCAATGCGGCTTCCATCCCCACCCCCATGACCCCACTCTCGCGAAGGTCACTGGTCACCTCCTGACTGCTAAATGCAGTGGCCATCACCTTGTCTTACTTCGCCTGCCCTGTATAGGCGGATCTAACCTACCACCCACCCCATTCCAGATGCTGTGCTCATGGCATTTCTGTGACATGCTCTCTTTATCCACCCCTCTGACCACATATCCTCTGTCCTGTTCTTGGACTTCTTTCCTTTTGCCTTTCCTTTAAGTTTTGCTTTTGAATGAATGAATGATGACTTGGAGATCAAGGACAGACGGAGAGGAGTGGGCAGGTTTCCCAGAGGGTCTGGCCTCTTCAGCAACTTTCTTTCCCCTGCCTGGTGCATCAAGGACAAGGCAGCCCAGAACTGCCTTGTGCTTCTCCCACCCTCTGCTTCCAGAAAGTTTTCTACTCTTACATTTTATGGGTCAAAAAATGACACTGAGGGCTGGCCAGTTAGTTCAGGTGATTAGAGCACGGTGCTGATAACACCAAGGTCAAGGGTTGGGATCTCAAAGCTGGTCAGCTGCCAAAAAAACAGAAATGACAGTGAGGAGGGTCCCAGGGCTTTGAGCTCTTAGCAGTAGTCAGATGTTGTCTGCGTTTTTCAGGGATTGTAAAGATGAGATCCCTGCCTGGAGAGGCTCTTCCCCAGCTAGTACGGGGAGACCGAGTCCTGTAGAGCAAGGAGCTTAGGCCTGCAGTTGAGACAGTGCTGGTTGGACCCCAGCTATGACTCAGGGTAATGGGACAAGCTCCAAACTCCACCCTTTCTCTTCTGTAAAGTGGGGATGATAGTGGCAGGTTGTGAAGATTAAATAAGATGGTACAAAAGAAGACGTTTGGCGTGTAGCCTCTGATATCACCCAGCCTCTAGAGCAGAGGGGCAGCCAGGCAGCTCCCGAGAGTGAAAAAAAACAATTAGAAGAGCCTGGAAGGAACTTTCAATACAGAAAAGCAGCTGTGGTTTGCTGGGGGTCTTTATACAGTCTGCAAACATGAGTGAATGAGTGAGTGAATGAAATGAAGCAAGCCCAGAGGGGCTTGGCAGGGGTGCCTTGTTAACGTAGTGCCCCCACAGCCCTTTCTTGTGCTCTGAGAGCTTCTTGAGATCGCAGGCAGTGCCTGTCATGTTCCTGTTATTTGGCCATAGAGGGTGTCCACTTGGCACGTAATAGGTGTCCAAAATATGTGTTGACTGTCCCTGGAAAAGGCATTCTAGGAAGGCAGAAATGAGAAAGTTCAGGGAGTAAAATCATCAGTCCCCCCACCCCCACCTTAGCTCAGACTCAACACTGTATGAGTAGGCGGCTTCCTGTGCCACCCGTGACTGAGGCCAGGATCAAGTCTGCTTCCTTCTCAGCCTCAGGGTCTCCAACCAGGGCCTGGAGGTGGGGCCTAGCCACTGCAAGATGCTCTGTGCCCTACAGAGTCAGGGAGTAGGAGGGGAAACCAAGGCTTGGGGACAAAATTGCCACCTGCACTTGGTGTCCTTCAGGGTGGTCTGAGCCGTGAGGCTGGGGAAGGCAGTGGGGAATGGTGTGACCTGCCCTCTGCTGGGCGTGGCTGCAGGACTGCGCATCAGCTTTCCTCAGGGCAAATGCTGCTTGTGCATCAGGAACAATCTGAGGTGGGCGGGCAGCATATAGTACGAGTATACACTACATAGTAGCTGCTATAATCACTGTTTATGTCAAGTGTATCTCTCGAAATCTCTGGAACTCTCATGAGGCTGGGGGGAAGGTTGGGGAGGGAGGGCCAGGGATCTGGGGGCTGTCTCGCCCGGCAGGGTTTTTCACAGTGGGCCTGGGATGGTCCTGTGAAGAGCAGAACCTAAAGCAGCCATCAGGAGAGCAAGAGGGAATTAAAAGTTAGGAGCCTGTGGTCAGCTGTCCTCTGCCTGCCCCGGGGAAGGGCGTCTAGGGAGAAACTTGAAGGTACGCCTGCACCTGCTCAGTGAGATTCTCTTCTGGGTGATGTCCTGCCAGGCTGATGGCATCTTCTGGGGACACACCACTGGTGGTTGCAGGGGAGGTGGGTGGCAGTGCCTGGGGAGATGACAGGGCACTAGCCAGAGATGTAAAAGGGCCGTGAGGAATCCCTCAACTGGGGGATCTTCTGTTGACACAAGGTAGACTTGGGGCTTGTAAGAGAGGTGTCTCAGAGGACTCAGGGACATTTGGTTTGGAACAGAAGAGACCAAGTGGCCTCTATCTTCACTCACTTTATTCCAGGAGATTGTAAACTTCTTGAGAATCCAAACCCTAGGCTCCCAGCGTCTTACTGAACTGTCTGTGGGACAGGGAGTTCCCAATCCCTGGACATGTTCAAGTGTAGAGAGATGGGACACCCCCCCCAGGAGGTGTATTAACTATGAAATCATGAGTGAGACCAGGGGCAGTGGAGTCCCCCCCCATCAGAAGATCGTACAGACACATTTTTTAGTATTGGTGTGTGGCCAAGAATTGTGATGTGGGGGTGGGTTTTGTGGGTGTGATAAGGCAGCCCCATCCCCAGGTGGTGACCAGTCCTTTCCTGGATAGGCTGCTCAGAAACGGGGGGCTAACAAGCAGTGCTACCCTACCTCTGGGTGACATTGGAGGTAGGACCCTCCAGCACTGAGACCCTCCCTCTCACCCATGAGTTATCCTTCCATCAACAGGGTCTGCACTACAGGTCTGTCCACTCTTTGCTGTTCTCTAGCATCTTTCCCTTTTTCCTTTCACCTGCTCCTCAAGCCTAAGCATGGGCCTCCTCTCTACCTCCACACAGGAAGCCAAGGGAGTAAGGCAACATGTCGAGGTCACACGGCCAACACAGGGACAGGCAGATCCCGATCCAGGCCACCTGGCTCAGATCCCAACCCTCGCTGGAGCGTGGTCTGCAGCTGGGTCTCCCTGAACACACACCTTCATCTCCCTGCTGTGAGCTCAGCTGCTTTTCTTGTGCATGCTGAGAGAGGCAGAGGTCTCCTCCCTTCATGCCAGGAACTGGGGGTGGGAGGGTCACACCCTTGCCAAACCTCTCCTCCTCCTAGCATGGTTCTGGGAGGAGGGGCTTTTGGTTGCAGGAAGCATTCTGTTATCCCGCACAGTGATCCTGCCATATTGGTAGTGCTCCTCAACTTTATGGGTAGGCAGGGAGGCCTAGAGGCTGGTGTGCAGGGTTGGGGTTGGAAGATCCCTCGTGCTTCTGATGGAAGCACAGTCTCTTGGGAGGCGGGTGGGCTGGGCAGAAGCCGGCCTGCTCCGGGGCTAGGCACGGAGATGAGAGAGGGGGCCTGGGAGCCGCCTTACAGATGCACCTTCATTTACCAAGCCTGGACCAGAGGGCAGCCAGTTTGTCTGGTGCCTCTGCCACAGGCTGTCCCCTTGCCCTGGCCAGGTACCTCCGGTCCCAGTCTTGGTGATGGCAGGAGCTTGGGTTTACCTGATCCCCCCGTGGGGCCATCATCAGGGCACTGGTGAAGGATACCGTGAAGTGGGCTACAGTCTCACTGTACCTAGAGTGCCTGGGCCCGGGCTTGGCGCTCCAGGACTGTTACATTGTAGCCACCAGGTATGAGTGTGATTGCTGTGCAGGAAGGAGGGCCAAATAAAACGGTTATCATCTTGTGTCACCCACAAGTCAGCAATTCGCATGGAAGCTGAAGTTCATTGATCAAAAGCTAGTTTGTTTCAGGACTCCGAAGGCGCTGGGTACGCCAGGGACTCGCCGGGGGCTGTGCGGTCCCCATGACCTCCGGGCGTGCTCTAGTCCCGGCGGGGCCTGGCGCGGAGCCCCTC